GAAAGACAGTGTCATGGTTAAGAACACACACTCTGGAACTTGGTTGCTTTAGTTTGAGCTCCACCCCACCACTTATTAGCTCTGTGATCTTGGGCAAGTTAGTCACACAAAGTTACTTAATCTCTCCATGCCTTGGTTTCCTCAACTGTGAAATAAGAATAATACCTACCTCATCAGTTTGCTGTTAAAAATTAAATGAATAAATATATGTAAAGCACTTAGTAAGGTGCCTGACATACAGTAAGTGCTTTGCGTTAGCTATTATTAAGATATAAAGATCACCTACATTAAAAATCACTGTTACAGACTGTGTTTAAAAGATCACTTTTATTCAGTTGCTTAGAACTCTAAATCTATAGCCCTGGAAATTCAATGCTGGGTCATAATTTGTCATAATTCCATAGAAACTTACTGAACATAGTGAGCCAAAACTACAGCTTCCTATTGTTTCTATGGAAGATGTATCAAAAGTTCCAACTGGGAAAAACAAACTTATTTTTCTGACCACATTCTCAGGTTCTAGAAGGGACTACTTAGTACTTAAGAGACAAAAGCCATCCTTTCCTTTTTCTCTAGGCACGTACAGGAACTTTTAAAGAAACACTAGTGATTTTTACAGTAAGGAGCAGGAAGAGTATCTGTGGGTTATGGGTCATAAGCCTTGTATTTCTTAATAATGGTAAAGAAATGATAAAGTCGGCTATGTAAATCTCCTAGCAAAGAGAGGAAAAGGTGAGTACAACTTTGCATAGATACACCTACATGCAGCACACCTATGGAATATTAACTTTATCTAGTTCTTTTTTTAAAAATAAATTTATTTATTTTTGGCTGTGTTGGATCTTCACTGCTGTGAGCGGGGCCACTCTTCATTGTGGTGCACTGGCTTCTCATTGAGGCGGCTTCTCTTGTTGCAGAGCATGGTCTCTAGGCGCACAGCCTTCAGCAGTTGTGGCACGCGGGCTTCAGCAGTTGTGGCACATGGGCTTCAGTAGTCGTGGCACATGGGCTTCAGCAGTCGTGGCACGTGGGCTTCAGTAGTCGTGGCACGCGGGCTTCAGTAGTCATGGCATGTGGGCTTCAGTAGTTGTGGCTCACAGGCTCTAGAGTGCAGGCTCAGTAGTTGTGGCGCACTGGCTTAATTGCTCCACGGCATGTGGAATCTTCCCAGACCAGGGCTCGAACCCATGTCCCCTGCATTGGCAGGCGGATTCTTAACCACTGCACCACCAGGGAAGTCCCGTATCTAGTTCTTCATAACTGACAAATTTTCATCCCTGAATAGTGCATTTGAAAATCAAAACCACTATATTTTATTCCCATTTTTCAGCTAGACTTAGAAATTTCAGTCTTCAAGGTCACACAGATATTAAAATTAGACTATAATTCAGGCTTGTTTCCACTTCTCAAAAAACTCTCTATGACAAAAATGGAGCAACTCAGAGGTACCAGAGGAGCAAGGAAATTTCTAATACTAGCAGAGAAGGAAAAGAAGAAATTATCATTGCTAGAACAAGTACTTCACAGGTTCCTTGTTACATCCAGGACTGCTGGTACTTCTCCTATATTCTTAACCTTATATAAATTAAATAGAATACTTTAAAAATTTTTTGCATAGAATTTTCTGTCCAAATTGGATTAAGGTTACATAATTCATTAAACATTTTATTCTCTGCAACTTTGGTGTGTAAAACTATGTCTATTTCTAAATTGGACTTCTCTACGTCAAATAATTAGGCATAATTTTAATTCAGAGTAAAAAACAAAGTGAAATCTAAAATATAAAGACCAGAACTAAATTTGCTTGGTTTATGAATGAACTTTAATATACTGGGTTCGTTCTTTTTTTTTTGGGGGGGGTACGCGGGCCTCTCACTGCTGTGGCCTCTCCCGCTGCGGAGCACAGGCTCCAGACGCTCAGGCCCAGCGGCCATGGCTCACGGGCCCAGCCACTTCGCGGCATGTGGGATCCTCCAGGACCGGGGCACGAACCCGCGTCCCCTGCATCGGCAGGCAGACTCTCAACCACTGCGCCACCAGGGAAGCCCCTGGGTTCTTTCTTAAAGCAAAAATATGCATATTAATTTGCAAGGTCTGCTTGTTAATCAATAGTCTTTAGTTAGCAAAAATACATGGCATCATATAACAACATATTTGTCAACACGTATTTAAGACTTATTTACTTTCAATAAACTCTTTGCAATACAAAACATGTTTCTAAAGGATAAAAAAAGGAAACATTAGATCAGCTGACTGTCCAAGTTGATTCCATTTATGAAACTAATGTACAATTTAAAAAATTCAGGAGATACAATGTAGAAACAAGTAAAATTATATACCTTCAGTTTAACTAAAGAAAACCTCTTACCTTTAAAAGAACTACAAGTCAAAAAAACCCCAATAATGAAGAATGCAGAATGAAGATAAAAGCTGCCAAAAACCACGACCCACTGGAGGCAAGATGGCCTGCCACCTTTGCCAACTGATATTAAGTCTAACTTTTATCTACCCACAAAGTCTAATTTTAACCTAACCACAATTTAAATGCCAACAGGAGAGTATTGTTTATCCCAATGTTCAAAACTTTGCCATATTACCTGTTAAGAGGTAAAATGCTTCCTTTAATATACCTATCAAGCTTGTCAACAAGTTTAATATCTGTAAGCCACTTCTTTTATGTGTCTGTGTGTGTTTTGTTGTGGGTTTTTTTGGTTTTTTTGGAAGTATAGTTGATTTACAATGTTGTGTTAGTTTCAGGTGTATTAGCAAAGTAATTCAGTTTTATATACACACACACACACGTGTGTATATATTTTTTCAGATTCTTTTCCATTATAGGTTATTACAAGATACTTAATAAAGTTCCCTGTGCTCTATAGTAGGTCCCTGTTGTTTATCTATTTTACACAGTGTGTATCTGTTAATCCCAAACTCCTAATTTATCCCTTCCTCCTCCCTTTCCCCTTTGGTAACCATAAATTTGTTTTCGATGTCTGTGAATCTATTCCTGTTTTGTAAATAAGTTCATTTGTATCTTTTTAGATTCCATGTAAGCCACTTCTTAATCTAAATGATCTTATACACACACACTTGAGAAGCACACAACATCAAACTGAAAATGACTGATATTTTACTTAATTTCCATAAATAAAAATTCCCTGAATGCCTTCAAAGGTGGGACAAGCAGAAAAAACCCATGACTCTAGGTGCTTCTGATTATGCCCAGCAAAAAATAAGGAAACTCACAAGCTAGCTGAAATAGCAATGAACAAATATGCTTTTTGTAGGCTTTTACAGGGATACCTCAATTGCAGCAAATACTAATCAGCTGCTTAAAAAAAACCCCACTATTTAAAACTGTCAAAAAGAATTCTAAATGACTAACCTGTGGACAAAGGTGCATTAAAAGTACTTTAAAGTTGCATTTTTCACTAAAAATAAACACTTAAGATTATTTTACATGCATCCTCACTGTATTATAGTTTCAATCTGGCTTTTCACTTTCACACACTAAGTTTTTAGGTTCCCTACTCCCCAAATTTAAAGGCAGTATTGAAATCTCCCTGGGGTCAGCAATAGAAGGAATGCTATACTGCATCACTGACCAGATCACTGGAAGTTAAGTTCCTAAAATTTACACTGAACAAGGTATAGAATCACATTTTGTATAACTCTGTATCCTAAAGAACACTTGGTACAAGGTCCTAAACGTATCAGGAGCTATAAATATTTACTGACTCAAAACAGTCCCTCAACACTTTTTAGTTTTGTTCCATGTTGTTGAAACAAAACAGCATAGCCTGCAAAACCCAAAGGCCCTAAATGTTACTGAAACTTCACAGACTATATTGTTTTATTGTTTAGAGGTTTTAGCCTTGCCCTTATTACCAGCTGTAACGCTTTTACTGACGCTGGTACGGTCGGTAGGAGAGTTGATCCAGTCAGAAGTAATATCAGAGCCCATTAAAGGGTTTTAAGTTCAAGTTTTACATATTTATCTTTTATCCATTTAACATTAATGTTCTAAAAATCATTTAACTGTATCAGCAACTTAATAAAGTTCTGTAGTCAATCTAATTTCCAGGAATGTAAATAAACACTGGTACCAATAAAAGAATAAGTAACCAAGCAGAAAATGTGCCTTAAGTTCTGGCAACAAGATAAGGATAGTTTACGTCAATGTAATGAAAAATAAGCATTTTTGTATTCTACAGACCTTTTCATAACTAATTTTTTAATAGTTATAAAAGTCTTTAAAAAGTCAAAGCAAATTGGGAAGCCATTATCAAAATCACAAACTACCATTAAAGATATATGAAAATATCCGGCAACCAAGGTCCAGAACTGGTTCCAGAGTATCAAAGGTTTTCTGGTTAATGTATTATGCCTCTAAAATATCACTTAGATGTGACATTCCTGAAACGGCAACACAGGCCTAGAAGTTTCAGTGAGCCACTGCCGGCAAACCCAAACTATGACAAAGATACTCCCTCCTTTGGACGGTTAACAATCAACTTGGTGCTCTGGGATCAGCTTGCTTGAAAGAAGTTTAAGATGGTGCCCAAACTGGGAGGGAAACCAGTAGAACGGGTAAAGAGAAAATCAAATGGAAAAGTAACTTTAAAAGTTAAGTTCCTATTTCCAATAATCTGTGCCTGAGGAACCTTCCAGACGAAAAAGACAGACTCGGAAGAG